TTTCCACAGAAATCATGGAAACCAGAAGGCAATGAAATGGCAATTTTGGAGTACTGTAAAATAACTGGCAAAGTGGCAAATAACTGAAAATATTCTTTAAAAAAAATGAAGATGATTCTAGTCTGGCATGTAAGGATCTTGGAAGTGGTAACTCTTTCCTAACAACTAGTCTGAATACACCGAAAAATCAACAACTCTCCTTGGATCTGGCACAGGGCAAGCTGTTCTCCCCCAATTGGACAGACAGGAGGATACAGAGAATCACAACCCACCTGAGCAGGAACCTCACAAGGACCAATGTGGGGGCAGAAAAACCTGAACTGTGATTGAGCAATGGCTGGAGGCAGCCCCACCAGTGTGGCTCAGTGGACTGACTGTCGTCCCATGAACTGAGAGGTCCCAGTTTGATGATTTCCGGTCAGGGCACATGCCCAGGTTGTGGGCTTGATCCCCAGTAGGGGGTGTGCAGGAGGCAGCCAATCAGTGTTTCTCTCATATATCGACATTTCTCTCTCTCCATTCCTCTCTCTCTAAAAAAATCAATAAAATGATTTTTTTAAATAGCTAGAAGCTCAGTGTGGACCAGTCTAAGAGTTAAAAACTCCAAGGGGACCCAGTCATAGGTTGGGGGGGATGCACACTTTTGTGAGTTTTCATCCCAAGAGTTCTACAAAGTTCTCACAGTATATATATTTTAAAAACCCTTCATGTTTTTGTCAGGGAAAGAGAAAGGAAAGATTTCAAAATAATCAGAGCTTTCTGCTTTTAACTAGGTCTGTCCTCAAAAGACATTATTTTGTCAGAGCCTAAACTATTGGATTTTTTTCAGAGCCTAACCGACGTGGAAGAAGGGAAATACCTAACTCCAGCCCACTCTAGCCATCCAGTCCCACCTAAGGGGGCTTGGGATTGAGAAGTATTTGTGAAGTTCACAGTCCAGAGGCAAAGGCTCATTAAAAGACTGAGACCTAATCACAGGACTATAGAATGCCTCCCCTCCCCACACCTTACCACGACATGGCTAAAGGCCTATTACAGTAGTTCCTTTTACCAAATATATCGTGTATGGCTATTTTTTAAAAATTCCAAGACATATTAAAAGGTAGAACATGGTTTGAAGAGACAAAACATCAGAACCAGCCCTGGCCGGTTTGGCTCAGCCGTTGGAGCGTCGGCCTGTAGTCCAGAGAGACCCGGGTTCCATTCCCGCTAGGGGCGCATACCTTGGTTACAGTTTGTCCCTGGCCCTGGTTGGGTCGTGTGGATGGCAACCACTCGATGTGTCCCTTTCACGTCGATGTTTTTCTTTATCTCTCTCCCTCTCACTCTATCTGAACAAAATATCAAAAGGTGTCCTCGGGTGAGGATAAAAAAATATCAGAACCAGACTAGATATGACAGGGATATTAAAATGATCAGACCCAGTATTTGAAACAACTATGATTAATATGCTGTGATCTTTAATTTGATGTGTCACCTTGACTGGGTTAAGGGTCTCCCCAAATAGCTGGTTAAACATTATTTTGGGTGTGTCTGAGGGGTGTTTGGGAAGTGTTTGATTCGGTAGACTGAGTACAGAATATTTGCCCTTAACCAATATAAGCAGGCATTGTTCAATCTGTTAAGAGCCAAAAGAGAACAAAAAGAGGAAGAAAAGGCAAATTCCGTCTCTTTCTCCTTGAGCTGGGACATTCATCTTCTCTTGTCCTTAGACACGGGAGCTCCTGGGTCTAGGGTCTTTGGACTACAGAACTTACACCAGTGGTCCCTAGTTCTTAGCACTTTGGCCTTGGACTGGGAGTTACACCATTGGCTACCCTGATTCTCAGACTTGAACTGAATTATACCACTGTTTTTCCTGGTTCTCCAGCATGCAGACAAAAGATTGTAGAACTTCTAGGCCTTGGGAATCAAGCCCTGGCCGGTTTTGCTCAGTGGTTATAGCATCAGCCTATGGTTCCGAGAGACCTGGGTTCGGTTCCCACTAAGGGCGCGTACCTCAGTTGCAGTTTGTCCCTGGTCCTGGTTGGTCGTGTGGGGGGCAGCCACTCGATGTGTCCCTTTCATGTCGATGTTTCTCTCTTTCTCTCTCCCTCCCACTCTATCTGAACAACAACAACAAAAAAGGAAAAATGTCCTCAGGTGAGGACGAGGATAAAAAAAAAAGATGGGAACCAATTCCTAGAATAACACCTTACTTGTAGAGGCACGAAGATAAGAATTACATCTAACTGCTCCTATATGTTGTCTATAAGAGATCCACTTTAAATATTAGGACACATACAAATTAAAAGTAAGTGGATGGCCCTGACGGGTTTTGCTCAGTAGTTAGAGTGCCGGCCCTCAGACCAATGAGTCATGGGTTCTATTCCGGTTAAGGGCACGTACCTCAGTTGGGGTTTGTCCCTGGCCCCGGTTGAGTCATGAGGGAGGCAACTAGTCGATGTGTCTCTCTCACGTCGATGTTTCTCTCTTTCTCTCTCTCTCTTTCTCTCCCTCCCTTCCTCCTTCCCACTCTATCTGAAGATAAATAGAAAAATATCCTCGGGTGAGGATTTAAAAAAAGTAAATAGATGGAGAAAGATATATCATGCTAACATTAATCAAAAGAAAACAGGAGTAGCCATGTTATTTCTAGACAGAACTGACTTCAGAGCAAGGAAACTTATCAGGGATAAAGAGGAGGCATTACATAAAGATAAAGGGGTTACTTCTCTAAGAAGACATAATGATACTGGATATGTATGCACCTAACAAAAAAGCATCAAAATATCTGAGGCAAAGACTAATGGAATTACAAGGAGAAATAGATGAATCCACTATTATAGTTGACAATGTAAACACCCCTCTATCAGAAATGGACAGATCCAGCAGGCAGAAACTCAGCAAGAACATAGTTGAATTGAACAGCACCATCAATCAACTGGATATAACGACATTAATAGACTAGTTCATCCAATACACATTCTTCTCAAGGTCACATGGAACATTAAGTTTGACTATATTCTGGGTGACAAAATACACCTTAACAAATTTAAAACAAATACACCTAACAAATATAGAAATCATATAATGTCTGCTCTCAGATCACAATGGAATTAAATTAAAAAGCAGTACCAGGCCCTGGCCAGTTTGGCTCAGCGGTTAGAGCGTCGGTCTGCAGTCCAGAGAGACCCAGGTTTGGTTCCCACTAAGGGCATGTACCTCAGTTGCAGTTTGTTCCCGGCCTTGGTTGGGTCATTTGAGTGGCAGCCACTTGATGTGTCCCATTCACGTCAATGTTTTTCTCTCTCCCTCCCACTCTATCTGAACAAAAACATGTAAAAATGTCCTCGAGTGAGAATTAAAAAAAAAAAGCAGTACCAGAAAGATATCTGGAAAATCCCAAACAAAACAACACACTTTAAAATAACACATGGGTCAAAGAAGAAATCTCAAGAGAATTAAAACATATTTTGAACTAAGTAAAAATGCAAATATAACTTTTCAAAATTCGTGGGATCCAGAGAAAATAGTCTTAGAGGGAAATGCATAACATTGAATGCATATGTTAGAAAAGAAGAAAAATCTCAAACTAGTAATCTAAGCTTTCACCTTAAGAAACTAGAAAAAGAAGAGCAAATTAACTCCAAAGTAAGCAAACAAAACAAAACAAAACAAAAAAACAAACAAAATTAGAGCACAAATCAATAAAATTGAGAGAGAGAAAAAAAAGCCACTTCACAGACACAGACAACAGTATGGTAATTACCAGAGGGAATGGGGGAGTCCGGGGGGTAGAAAATGGTGGCAGAAGGAAACTTGACTTTGGGGTGGTAAACACACAATGCAATATACAAATATATATTATAGAATTGTACACTTGAAACCTATATAGTTGTATTAACCATTGTCACCCCCATAAATGCAATAAAAAACTTTTAAATGAAATCAATAAATTGAAAATAGAACATCAACAGAGAAATTCAACAAAACCCACAATTGGTTCTTTGAAAAGATCAAGTAAATCAATAAGTTTTCACTAGACTAAGAAAAAAGAGAGAGAAGACAGACATTACTAATATCACAAATGAAAGAGGGGCAGCTCTACAAATCCCATGTACATTAAGAGGATAATAAAGGAATATGATGAACAACTCCTTGCCCACAGATTTGATCACTAATCGAAATGGACCAATTCCATGAAAGCACAATCTGCCAAAAGTCCCACAAGAAAAAACAACTATTTGAATAGGTCTATATCGATTAAAGGAATTGGACTGATAATTTATAATCTTTGCCAGCAGAAAGCACCAGGCCCACATGGGTTCATTGGTGAATTCTGACAAGAATTTAAGGAAATTATACCCGTTCGCTTCAATCTCTTGCAGAAGACAGAGGCAGAGGGGTCCTTTCTATGTCATTCTATGAGGCCAACATTACCCTCATAGCAAAACCATACAAAGACATTCAAGAAAACTGTAGAGCCCTGGCCAGTTTGGCTCAGTGGTTAGAGCGTCCACCTGCGGTCCAGAGAGACCCGGGTTCGGTTCCCGCTAAGGGCACGTACTTCGGTTGCAGTTTGTCCCCGGCCCTGGTTGGTCGTGCGGGTGGCAGCCACTCGATGTGTCCCTTCACGTCGATGTTTCTCACTCTCTCTATTCCTCTCTCTCCCTCCCACTCTATCTGTACAAAAAGATGGAAAAATGTTCTCGGGTGAGGATTAAAAAAATAAAAATAAAAAATAAAGAAAACTGTAGACCAACATCTCTCATGTACATACATGCAAACATTCTCAACAAAATATTAGCACATCAAATCCAACAATACATAAAAAGAATTATAGGCGCAGAGGTGACCGCCACTCTGTGCCAGGTGGGAGGGGAGGCGGGCGTGTTGCTGGGCCGCGCAGCGCCCTCTGTGCCTGGGCGCCAGGTGGGGCTGCGGACGCCCGCACTCTGGTGGCCCGCGCGCGGTAAGGGGGCAACTGTCACCCCGCACTCCAAGTGGGTGGCGGCAGGATGGCGTCGGCCTGTGGGCCCTCGGACTTGGCGGACTCCGGAGCGTCCCCGCCTGGCCCGGGAGTCCTAGCGGCGGAGGCTGAGGAGGAGGAACAAGAGGTGGTGCGAGTCCGAGTGGAGAAACGCGAGGGCTCTTTGCCACCTGAGCTGCGCTCTTTTGCTGTTGACCCCCAGATCACCTCGCTCGACGTGTTGCAGCACATCCTCCTCCGAGCGTTCGCCTTGAATGGGAAGAACTTTGGCGTCAGCTACCTGGGCCTGGATTGGCTGGGGCAGGACGTTTACCTCTCTCTCCTGTCTGACTGGGACCTCAGCACAGCCTTCGCCACTGCCTCCAAACCTTACCTGCAGCTGCGTGTAGACGTTCAGCCCACGGAGGACAGCCTGCTGCTGGAAGACTGGGACATAATCAACCCCAAGGAGGTCACTGGCTCGGACGCGCTGCTGCCTGAGAAACGGTCATCACTGACAACCGCTGCCGTGCCCTTCACACAGTCCGTCCTCGCTCAGGTGGGCCGCACCTTGTCTAGGATCCAGCAGGTGCTGAGCTGGTCATGTGGGAAGGATGTCAAGCCCTTCAGGCCACCCCTGAGCGATGCTGAGTTCCACACATACCTGAACCGCGAGGGCCAGCTCTCCTGCCCCGAGGAGCTGCGCCTGCGGATCTACCATGGTGGTGTGGAGCCGTCCCTGAGAAAGGTGGTGTGGCAGTACCTGCTGAATGTGTACCCAGACGGGCTCACCCGCCGCCAGCAGACGGACTACATGCAACGCAAGGATCGGGAATACAGGCAGCTTAAGAGCCAGTGGGCTCAGAGAGCAAGCCCTGAGGACCTGGAATTCCTCCGCAGCATGGTCCTCAGGGATGTGCTGCGCACGGACCGGGCCCACCCCTACTACGCGGGACCTGAGGATGGCCCACACCTGCGGGCACTGCACGACCTGCTCACCACCTATGCTGTTACCCACCCACAGGTGTCCTACCGCCAAGGCATGAGTGACCTTGCCTCGCCCATCCTTGCCGTCATGGACCACGAAGGCCATGCCTTCGTCTGCTTTTGTGCCATCATGAAACGCCTGGCCACGAACTTTCATCCTGATGGCCGGGCCATGGCCACCAAGTTCGCCCACCTCAAGCTGCTGCTGCGACACTCTGACCCTGACTTCTACCAGTATCTGCAAAAAGCTGGTGCCCATGATCTCCTCTTCTGTTACCGCTGGCTGCTGCTGGAGCTGAAGCGCGAGTTCGCCTTTGATGATGCTCTCCACATGCTTGAGGTCACCTGGAGTTCGCTGCCTCCAGATCCTCCTGAACATGAGGTGGAGCTAGTGGGATCCCCCAACCTAATGGCAGACACTGGCTTCAGTGGCCATCAGGGGCAGAGGCATGTTTTGAGGCCTGCTGGTGGGAGAGGCAGTGCTTTTGAAGATGCAGTTGACCACTTGGTCATAACCAGCCAGGGACCTGATGGTGGGGGGTGTCTCCTGAGACAAGCCAGTCTGGATGACCTCCAGCGATTCAGGGATAACACCCAGCCCAGGAAGGACTCTCTGATCCAGCTGCCCCATTCAGCTGCCCTCATCAGCTCCAAGTCCCTCTCTGAACCCTTGCTTAACTCCTCAGACCCACGACTCTCCTCTTCTTCCCACCCTGATTCCCCATCCTCCTCGTCTCTGCCATCCTCTTGGGAGGTTTCTCCTGCTGGTGATGTGGCTGCAGGATCCCCCTTGATGCCAGAGGTGGGCTATTCACATGACCCTGGGAAATCCCTGCCACCACCTCAGGAGTTTGGCCAAGGGAACCCATTCATGCTCTTCATCTGCCTCGCCATCTTGCTAGAGCACCGTGATCAGATTATGAGAAATGGATTGGATTACCATGAGCTGGCCATGCACTTTGACCGCCTGGTGGGAAAACACCACCTGGGGCGTGTCCTCCACCGGGCCAAGGCTCTATTCGCTGATTACCTGCAGTCATAGATGTGGGACTCAGGAGGGAGCTGAAGCCATAGCCCCATCTTGATAAAGTCCCTCCAGACCACCATCAGCCCCGCAAGATCTCCATTCTTTGCCATATGGGCTTCCCTGTGAGACCTTACCTTTCTGCCTGCCAACCTTAGACCTGTTGGAGTGTGGGACCTTCTCTCTGCAGGTCTGAGAGTATGGGGCTCTGCTCTGGCACTGTCCTATTGAAACTATGGCCTCGTTTCTGTTTTTGTTGCTTTGTTTTCAACAATTGTACTTTGCACACATGAAAAAATAAAGAATTATACTCCACGACCAAGTGGGACTTATCCTAGTTATGCAAGGCCAATTCAACATTTGAAAGTCAATTAATGTAATTCATCACATTAATAGACTAAAGAATAAAAATCACATGATCATATCAGTAGATGCAGAAAAAGCATTTGACAAAATCCAACACCTATTTGTGATCGATACTCTCAGAAAACTAGGAATAGAGGGAAAATTTCTTTCTCAGCAATTGGTAGAAAAGAAGACAAAACTCAGTAAGCATATAGAGAATTTAAACCAATATGACCTAATTTACACACACACACACACACACACACACCAATGAACTCAGCAACTTCAGAATACACATTCTTTTCATGTGCGTGGAACAATTACCAAAATTCATCTTATCCTGGGTCACAAAGCAAACCTTGGGGAATGTCAAAGAATGAAAATCATACAGAGTATGGTCTATGACAACCATGTAATTAGGCTAGCAACCAGTAATAAAAGATAACTTGGAAATCTTTAAATGTTTCAACATTAAGCAGTGTACTTCTAAATAGTTCGTTGCAGAAGAAATCATGTTGGCTATAAAAAATATTTTTAAATGAATTATGATGAAATATATTAAAACTTTGGGATGCAGCTAAAGCAGTACTTAGAGGAAAACTTATGAACATATACACATACATTTGAAAAGAAGAAAGGCTAAAAATCACAAAGAAGAGCAAAATAAACCCCATAGCAAAACAAACCCAATAAAATAGAAGGGGGATAAAGATCAAGAATAAACAAGAAAAAAAGAAAGGGTACCAATTGTCAGCATTGAAACAAAAAAAGAGGTCATCTCTATCCTTCAGACTGCTATATAATGAGAATATTCTTTTTTTTTTTTTTTTTTTTTTTTATCCTCACCTGAGGACATTTTCCCATTTTTTTGTTCAGGTAGAGTGGGAGGGAGAGAGAGGAACAGAGAGAGAGAGAGAAACATCTATGTGAAAGGGACACATCGAGTGGCTGCCACCCGCACGACCAACCAGGGCCGGGGACAAACTGCAACCGAAGTATGCGCCCTTAGCGGGAACCGAACCCGGGTCTCTCAGGACCGCAGGTCGACACTCTAACCGCTGAGCCAAACCAGCCAGGGCTAATGAGAATATTCTTATGACTCCATGCCAAAAATTTTCAACGGGTGTGTTGCTGCACACTGGTGTGCCACAAGAATTTTATTATTTATTTTTTGAGAGAGAGAAACATTGGTGTGAGAGAAACATCTATTGGTTGCCTCCCACATGCATCCCGACTGGGGATTGCACCCTACCTAGGGCACCACAAGAATTTTTAAAACGTGCAATACCTGACTATTTAGTCAGGAGCACTGACCTCTTTGCCCTTATATTTTCAAATAAAAAATGACAATAGCCAACACAACAATATCCATCCAGTGTGAATGAATCAAAATTATACCTATTTTATTTGTCAGATTGGCAGAAATTAATATTTTTTGGAGTGCCATAGAATTTTGGTAATTAGTTTATGTATGCCATAAGATGAAAAAAGGTTGAAATTCCTGAAAATTTTGATGAAATTAGCAAATTCCTTGAAAAACACAACTTACGCCCTGGCCAGTTTGGCTCAGCAGTTACAGCGTTGGCCTGCGGTCCAGAGAGACCTGGGTTCGGTTTCCGCTATGGGGGGGAACATTGGTTGCAGTTTGTCCCTGACCCTGGTTGGGTTGTGCGGGTGGCGGCCACTCGATGTGTCCCTTTCATTTTGATGTTTCTCTCTTTCTCTCTCTCCCTCCCACTCTATCTGAACAAAAAAATAGAAAAAATGTCCTCAGGTGAGGATAAAAAAAAAAAAAAAAGAAAAAAGGAAAGAAAAACACAACTTACCATTCTTACGGGAGAATAGTCTCATAGTACCATTTTTATTAGGAAAATTTGTCAGTAATTAAACATCTTCCCACAAAGAAAATTTCAAGTCCAGATAGTTAATTAGTGAATTCTTTTTAACATCAAAGAAAGAAACAACACCAATTTTATACAAACTGTTATAGTGAAGAAAGAGAGAAAACACTTCCTAACTTTTTGGATGAGGGCAGCATAACCTCGATATTAAAACCAAGCCAGGACATTTCAAGACAGGATAATTACAGAATAACTTCTGTAAAATCATAGATACAAATTCTAAACAAAATAATAGCAATCAAATTCAGCGTTATATAATGCGTCATGACAAATTTGAGTTTGTTTCAGGAATGTGAGGTTGGCTTCACATTTGAAAACCGACTATGTAATTCCCCACATTAAAAGTATAAAGTATCAATAGATGTAAAAAAAATCACTTTATAAAAGTTCAACATGTATTCATGATAAAAATTCTTGGCCTACTACAAATAAAAGGATATTTTCTTATTTTGATAATATCAAACAAAAAAGCTACAGCAAATATCACATTTAATGGTAAGTATTGAAAGCTATCCCCTTGAGATTGGAACAAATTAGGATGTCCACCACCAGCACTTCTATTTAATATTGTATGGGAGGTCCTAACCAGTGCAATAAGGCAAGAAAAAAATTAAGATGTAAGATTTGAAAAGCAAAAAACAAACAAACAAAACATAATGGTCATTCATTGATGGTATCATGACGTATGTTGGAAATTTTTAAAAATCTATAGATATGGTATAAGATGAAATAAATTTAGTTGTATTTCTATAAGCTGACAACAAACAATTTGAAAATAAAAATTTCATTGAAATAACATTTTTAAAATTTAAAAATTAAAACTTAGGAATAAATCTGACAAGATATGCGTATGATTGTATATAGAAAACTATAGAATATTACTGAGAGGAAAAGAAGAAAGCTTAAAAATATATATACTGTGTTCATAGATTGCTAGTGTCAATATTGTGAAGTGATCAATTCTTCCCTCAATTGATCTACAGATTCAATTCAACCCTAAAAAAACCTCATAGACTGCTGGTGAGAATGTAAAATGGTGCAGCCTCTTTGAAAAATTGTTTGATAGTTTCTACAAAGTATAAATATAATGTACCATGTGATCCAGCAATTTCAATCCTAGGTATATATACCCAAGAGAAAGTAAAACATATGTTCACAAAAAACTAAAAAGACCCAAATGGCCATCAAATATTGAATAGATCAATAAAATGTTGTACATTCATACAATGAAATATTATTCAGCCATAAAAAGGGATGGAGTACTGATACATGCTGTAACTTGGACAAACCTTGCAAACATTATGCTAAGTGAAAGAAGCAACTCACAAAATACCACATGTTTTTTGTTTTTTTTTTTTATCCTCACCCGAGGACATTTTTTCCATTTTTTGTTCAGGTAGAATGGGAGGGAGAGAGAGGAACAGAGAGAGAGAGAGAGAAACATCGATGTGAAAGGAACACATCAAGTGGCTGCCACCCGCACAACCGACCAGGGCCGGGGACAAACTGCAACCGAGCTATGTGCCCTTAGCGGGAACCGAACACGGGCCTCTCAGGACCGCAGGCCGACGCTCTAACCTCTGAGCCAAACCGGCCAGGGCCCACATGTTTTATTATACCTTTTATGTGGAATATCCAGAATAAATAAAACAATAAAGACAAAAAATAGAATTAATGATTGCCTAGAGTTGGGGGTGGGGAGGAATGACTGCTCATGGGCATGGAGTTTTCCTTGAAGGGTGATGAAAGTGTTCTAAAATTTGTTATGGCGATGGCTGCACGACTCTGTGACTATACTAAAACCCACTGAATTAAATATTGAATTTCAATGGATAGTTTGTATGGTATGTGAATTAAATCTCCAAACTATTTTTTTTTAAACTCAGTAAGAAATTCCTGAACTTTTTTTGGAGTGGAAATTGACAAGTTGATTCTAAAAATTATATGAAGTATAAAGTCAGAGGACTTAAGCTACCTGTTAGACTTATTACACAGTTAAATAATTAAAACAGTACTGGCAAACTTACAGACAAATAGATGAATGGAAAACAATGGAAAATCTAGAAACAGACTCACACCTATATGGTGCAATGATATAATGTTCTTTTCAATAAACGGTACTGAATAACTTTAATATCCCTGTTGGGTGGAGGGGATGAACTTTGAATCCTACCTCACACTATCCAGAAAAATGAGTCCAAGATGATAGTTAATCCAAATGTGAAGAACAACACAAATATGCCTTCAAAATTCTGAAGAAAAATTATTTGTCACCTAGAATTCTAAAACCAGTAAAATTATCAATTAAGTATAAGGGTAAATTAAAGACCTTTCCAGATCTTCAAAGTTTCAGAAATTATATCCCCTTTGCACATCTTCTCAAGAACCTATTGGAGGATGTGTTCCTAAAAACAAGAGAATAAGAAAGATAAAGACATTGGCCTCAGGAAATGAGGAAATCAGACGTAGGAAAGATGTAAGGGGATCCGAAGGAGGATGGTGAAAAGAGATTCCAACTTGAGAGCTAGTCACGGGTTAGAGAGCAAAGGGAATGCGGTGGATCAAATTCTGCAGAAGAGACTACTTCAAGAAGAGGAAACGCACAGACTACCTCAGGTGTCAGAATGGCTGGGGAACTGGGGATGAAATAATGCTCATTACACAGGAAACCAAATGAACCTCAGCAACAACGAAATGAGAGAATTGTTAACTCCAAGAGAACAAAATGCAAAGGTGACCATAGTACTCTACACAGCTCAGACAGCGACAGTC